ACTAATAATTGATGTAGGCATACAAGATGACATACCGTTTGTGCTGTGTGTAGTAGTATTATGCATGTCCTCCTCATTGCTAGCGCTGGTATTGACGTTATTCTCTCTCTCCATTTTGTAATGCCTTGTTTGGCTTTGGCGACTATAGATGTTGTGGACATCTTGGTCAATATTTACAGCAACAATACTCCTACAAGTAAGAGCCTCGGCTAACGTCCATACGCTCTTTACAGCCCTTCGGCGCGAAGTCGAAAACTCTAGCATGTTGAAGTACACTAACGGTACAATTAGTGCAAACAATCAGTAAAACCTCGTCTTTGTACACCACAGTCTTTTGACAATGTCATTGTGCAATATTCTAAATTTTCTTAAAAATTCACAGCAAACCCTAAACGTGCAACATTTGGAAATGGTGTGAGAATGGAATGTACAAATGCTTGCGCATATATTGCGCGCGCATCCTTCCACGTGGGGCGCTGTGATAAATGGATTTATAACGCATTCACTACATAAATCCGATTAATTACACGTATTGAAATATAACAGTATACGACTATCCTGCCTATGGTAAGACGACTGGTTCCTCAGTTGGAGCTACTACAGATTTATTAAATTATTTAATTTGTTAAAATCATATTTTTCTACATTTAAATCAATTACTTATTTCAAACATTGAAAAATATCAAATGGAATTCCTTACTGTACACCTACAAAAGCCTTCACACAATTTTACTTCCAATATAAGAATATCTACGCTAAACCTTTCATGAGAGTAGGATGATGTATATTTAAAATAAACCAGATTTTATCTATTTAATCGAATATTCGAATATATTTGAATACTGTCATTGAATATTCGAATATGAATTATTGACAAAATTGGCATCCCTAATTGATTGTGTGTTGTTTTACGTCCATTCGAGGGCCATTAAGCAGTGATGGTTCTTTTTCGTGTCAACGCCTATCGTGACATAGGGTTCGGTATTTAAGGCCTCACCCGAGGTCCTAAGACTCTAAACTTTCACTTCAAAGTGCTGAGCGTTAGGCAAAGGAACAGTTGCTTCCAATTTTTTATCGACTTGTTGGGTATATGAACTCACAACCTTCCGATTAAGCGCTCCACCGACTAAGCTACCATGACGGTCGAGATTTATTAATCAAATTCAAATGTGAATCAGGGATAATTTCCACTTTCCTTATTTTACTTGTTTGCAGATAGACATGTTAATAAACTGCAAGTGGAATAGAATTCTTTGATTCAATACATTTATACCTAAAAGCTTTGTGAATAAAGAAGTGTTCATTTATCGCGAAATTCTTGGGATACTATGTGCAAAAATCTTTCTTTAAAGAAAAAGAAATTATTTGGGAGAAACTATTTGCATATCCTATAAATAAAACAAACCATTTTTTATATAAATGTTGGAGTGCTTTCATGCAGCATCGGGGCTTTTATAATGGTTTTTCAAATTCTGTATTTTTTTCTTTATATATTTCATTCAAATATAGAAAGGAATACCAGAATTAAATTAGTCTATGAGGCTATGTAAGAACTATACATCTAGTATTTCCTTTGCTAGCAACTAATTCTTCAATTTACTTTGTTATGTTGTCCAACTTCATTCTCAGCAATAACTTAAGGAGCACTGCAAATGTTGTCTATAAAAAACTTAGAGTTAAAGTCATATATGGCGTATTTTTAATAAGTTCAGACTAACTAAAATTGAAAAGATCTTTCTATTTGTTTTTATTCCTTTATATAAAGTTAGGACTTTCCTGTAAATTACACAATATAAATCAATCGTCTTTCATATATATTAGAAATTTAAAACAATAACCGATTTATTTAGCGACTCCGCATTCAAATATCAGATACAGTTTAAAGTCAATTTAACTATAGAAACGTGGGGTTATTCAAGTTCAAAATCTGTGAAAACTTTAATTTGAACGTAAATAACAAATATCATGTTCAACTACACTCAATCTCGTATTTTTATTTTTTAGCTCAGATACGCCATAGATAGCTTTGATGAATTCTTAGAGAAAATTAATTATCAGTTTTTAAATTAACAGTTCCAATAGAAATGACTACAAATTATCCGCAAAGACGCTGCTTTCGTCACAAAATTAGATAATCGCCCAAAAATAAAAACAACCTTGAACCTTAAATCAAAATTACAAGCGTCATTAATTTCCTTATTACATAATTGGCTGACTGGGGTAAACACTTATCTATTATTATCTATTACAAAATAAAATATATTCAAGGTTACTGAACTACCTTCGTGCAATGAATAACCTGGAAATTATCTAACTTGACAACATCTTGCTTTTAAATCGAGACATATTTGTCTAGATACTAGTTATAAAATATCAAAATATATGCTAAATTTAGGACGCCAAAATCAAATATACCTACAGTAATCTTTGCAGACAAACAAACAAAGTATGTAACAGTTGTGGCTGAGCCTGTTGTGTCTTTTATTTTGAGTTCACTGGGATATATCGAGAAGATATATGAATAAAGGTATTTATTGTAAATTGATAAAAAGTCGTCATTATATCTAAATATTGAGTTGAAGGCCACAGCAAGAGTTTTCTTCATTTCGTGACTACAGAAAATTTTGAATAAATCCTGCTTCAAAGGAATATAAAACATGTCGGCTAATAAAGGAGTACAATTTGTGTCCATGGACATCCCAACAGATTGTTGGAAGATCTGTAAATCTTTTCAATATAAATCTTAAGATTAATTTTCATCGTAAGAGACATCTTACGATTTTATTTCTTTTCACAAAAATTCTGACGAGATTCTTACGTGTTACATTTTTCGTAACTTTACGAGAGCTCTTACCCTCTCTTAAGTATCTTAGAGCCGATTTTGATTTTAAAATATAACAGAGAAAATCCGAATATATGTTTAATATAACTTTTTACTCATCCTGCAATAGCATTTTATATTATATCACTATTGTCGGAAAATTAAATGAAATAAACTGCAAAATATTTTCGATGGTTTTTATCTTAAGATTTTCGTATGACCTACTTTTAGGTCAGACTTGAAATTGTAATATGCATATTTCAAACTTCCTTGCTTCACAATTGATTGCACTCGATTTTTGTTATTCATAATGATTAGTTAACATGCAAGTGTTGAAATTTTGCTTCATTTTCATTCTCATACAATTCTTAAAGGAATATAAGGTATATTGTATCAAGATCGTTGCTGGAAAGATGTCTGTCGGAAGTAAAATCTTAGGTTCAATTCTGCTACTTTTTAATATTAACTTCAGAGTATATATAGAATCAGGATGATTTTTAACAATAAAGAGTTTCATTTTTATTTAAAAAGCAGTTTTCTATAATGTCAACCAGCGTGCTCACTGTTATCTGTAAAATTCAGTCCCCCAAAACATTAAAGTACTTACTTCGTACGGCAAACACTCAGTACGCCGGTAATATCTCTTGATGTATATTTCCCAGATTTTGCTAATACATGTTTATGGTTTAACGATAAATTGTAAGCAAGTACGGAGAAAATAGTTTGCATTCTGTTTGGCGGAAAAAAGTCTTAATCAGACTCCGCCAATTCTTCAAAAGAGTAAACATTAATTTATTCTACCCATAAACCAGGATGCGTGCAAAACAAATTAAACTATTCCAGTAGATATTTTTAGCTTGACACAGTTTTTGGCCGACAGTTTAGGTCAGTAGTAGTCAAGGCCTTCGGTTAAGTTATTATATAGTTTCAGTAAATATTCTTACATATATATGCTTTTAGATTGGAGAATGACACATTTTCTGCATTTAATTTCATTTGTTGAAATATTGTGATAGCAAGGATTTGTTATCCATGACAAGGTAAGTTTTGTATTCTGTATTCTGTACTAGCAAATACCATTGAAAAACAGATAATTTAGCTATCTCTCCTTTTTTTAAATGTGCAACAATGTGAAACGATTGCCTGCCTACGGAGTTTAGCAATTTGAAATTTGAAATTTTTTTTGTTTGAAAATTTGAAAATTGTTATCACAAATTGAAATTTTGTGATAGCAAGGATTTGTTTTCCATGACAAGGTAAATTTTGTATTCTGTATTCTGTACGTGCCAATAGCAAGGAAAAACCGATAAAACTGTAACCTCTCCTTTTTTAAATATGCAACAATGTGAAACGATTGCCTGCCGACGGAGTTAAACAATTTTTAAGAAAAACAGTGTGTCTTGATTAAGCTAACAAATGTCTCTAAATTAAGGCGCTTTATAGTTTAAGAAGCAGATATGAAGACGAAATGAAATTAAAAAAAAGGTTATTAATTTATCACATATACATCAAATATTAAGAAACGTTTCACTATTATCAAAATAATACCTTTTCTTATTGTAAACATGCAACAAAACTAACTAAAGAAGGTTTAATCGAGACAAAAAGGTCACTTTTTAGAGTTTTCATCACAAAGTGACTCTAGAGACATGCTACTGTGACAACTATAATTAGTATGAAAAAAGCACAATGCTACCATTTGATTCTATGTCATATTGCTTCTTTCTATTGTCATGAATTTTGTTTCAATATCGACCAAAGGGCAAATTTATGAACTTTTAAAAGACAACCGTATAAATAAATAGAGGACAAAACATTGAATTATCTGTTTATTACATTTTCTCTTATTTCTCTTTGCCTCTGTATTTTTGTCTGTGTTCTTAACACAGTGTTGTAGGCTGTGACGTCATAGTTGAACAGTTCAGACGTTATAGCTTAGCAATTGTGAGATTGAAAACATTATAACATGGGTTTTAGCAATATATTTGGGAGGAAATTTACAGTTTTATTCTCTATAAAGATTGTTTAGTTAATATATCTAATGAAAGGCCAGAAATCATTTTTACTTACTTTGATATCCTTTCACACTGTGACAGAATATCATTTTGGTATCCCTTCACACTGTGAAAGAATATCACTTTTATTCAATAAATAAATCACAATATTTCACTATTGAAAATGTAATAATATATATTATATTGCAGGACAGGAAATATAATTCTTAGACAATAAATTTTGTGACATTGTTTATGTTATAATTAAACTGAAAAAGTTAAATAAAATCACATATACACATGAAAAATGGGAGATCCTATGGGTTTCTTTGTTATCTAAGTGGATTCTGGATGCTTTTCAGTTGTGTGGTACTTGCGCAGTAGTTCATGAATGTTTCTTTTCCTAAAACAAAATTTATATTTTACCAATAATGTAATTTTTTTAATTATTGAAACATACGTCTACATTTTTTTACCATATTGTTGAAATTTAAACTATACTTACCTGCATATGATAAAGCAGTCATCAACATAATATTTTTCCATCTGATCTTTCTTCATTATTAATTTCGATATAAAAATAACACCGAGGATCACTAGCAATACACAAAAGGTCACACCGAGTAAAACGACCACCCATGTATCAGCACAAACTGAAATAAAAAAGAGGCAAATTCTTCATCTTTATTGAAAAGAAGAAAAGAAATTTTCATCATTGTTAAGTACATGTACATCTATATTCAAACCTCTCTTATCTCCTATAGAATCTTCCTCTGTTGTAGATCTAGTTTGATTTGTTGTTTTCGAATCTAAAAAACAAAATATGTCTATAAAAAGTTAACGTTCTGAATTCCTAGTCAAGCCCTAGAGGGACCTGAGTTATATAAAACGATGTCTTTTCATTGATTTACATAGATCTTAATCGCGTAACTCTATTAAACACTAAATGATGATTAAAGTGTATCTTGAATTGTCGTAGTTTTCCATAGGAACACGATCAATTTTATTTTCGAAGAAGGGCTGTGATCAAAGTAAAGGTTTTTGCAACTACGTTTCATGGTGTTCAGATTTGAGGACCCATCGTGCTTTGAATGAATTTTTTTCTGTCTATTTAAATCTTCAACATGAATTTAGTTTCCAGTTGAACTTATTTCATTGTAAATGCATGTACTTCTCTAACTTAAAAAAAATCAGTCCTTTCAATATTTTTGTCCATTTCCTGGAAGAATTTTTTTAATAATATAATTTAACTGATGTTCACGGTCAAATACGAAAGGTTCCTTTTTTCCGTTTGCCCGATCATGACATCATGACACGGAGGGTTTGACAGATCGACAGGGAATGCTTACTTCTCCATGGCACCTGATCCCACCTCTGATGCTTTTAGAGGTCCGTCTTTGCTCTGCTTCCGATTTGGACTTTTGAACTTGATTACTATTCGTTATATCCATCTTTCATGAATACTTCAGAAATTTTGCAAGAATTTTATAGGGAGTAAATTATCGTATCTATTCTTTGTTTAATATTCCTACTTGGAGGGTGCTGAAAAATTGTACTGAATACAGTTCGGCTTAGCAGTAGTACATACAATTGATTGATTTTAAGAAATTTTCTCGATTTAAGAAAGAAGCATTTTCAAGCTTTATTGGTTTCGTGAAAATCGAATATTAATTTTTACATTAGGTTTATTTTACTACAGTGTATATATTATATATCTAGTATGCCAAGTTTTACCTGACCTTTTAAGGATTTCAATATTTTTTAAACAAATTGTTTTCTTTGTGAGATATTCGCTAACTAAATTTATTTAGAATAACAATCCTGATAATAAATTGATTTAAACAAATCAGGAGAGTCAATTATTGGAATAAAGATCTCGTGAAAGGTTCTTCAATTTTACAAAAATTGATGTGTCAGGGTACATTCAGTCAGGAAACAAAGTATGAACACACCTGTCCATTACACTTAAGTAGTTTTTTTCTTTCAATATATATTACCACCTTTTAAATAGTAGGTTATGTTCTATTTGATACTTAAAAATACACCCTAAAGTAGTGGTCATTTTGGAAATATTATAGATCTGCAAATGGGAATGGGAATGACAGATCTGCAAGACAGTTTTAGTAAAAAAAAATGGTTATAAATGTATAAAGGGTCCAAGTGAACCTGATGTGTTTTCACTGAATTTGATTAATTTTGATTAATAAGGTCCCATGCAAACCTTTCTCTTTGTCAAAGCAACAAACATGTATGAATATCAGATGTATTGCCAGAATATAGGATATTTTTACAAAATGGGAATACAATTTTCAACAGCACTTTCATACACCAAAAAATTCCAACACTCGGACCTAGAACAAACTGCTTACATGTTTATCTTGTTTTAATTTGTGGTAGAATGTGACACTCTAGTGATAATTTTGTCTACATATACTGAGAATTTAACTCTCATTCAGCACTCAATTGTCACTCAATTGATCAAGGGAATCTTGTTCCATAAAAGGGATAGAGTTTCTAAAAAATAAGTCTAATTGTCACACCAGCCAGTGGTCTTACTGGTATATTACAGAATGCCAATTTTTGTAATATTTGAAACATTTTATTTTAAAAAAGAAGCTAGAAATGGAATTTAATAATACATTCTTAAAAATGAAAATATATTGAGAAATTTTACTTACCAGGGTGTATCTTATATGTTTCACACTGAAATACACACATTTCCGGAGGGTTCCTCGACTCACAAATTTCTGTGGTACAATATAAACATGTCTGTTCTTCGCTACAATATTTTATTATACCATCACAGTAATTATTCCCACAGGGTAACTTAAATTTTATATTATCTATATCGATCATTCTCTTAGTTTCGATGCAGCGAATTATAATCATTATACACATCGATATTGTTAAAATCATTTTTTTTTCTTTCACCTAGAATAAGATTAAACTTCAAATGATAAACGTTAGCAAATAGCTAGCGGGTAAGTGTCCTGATTGTTGTGCCCTTCCTTTTAAATACTATATTTAACTTCAAGTGAATCGTTACAGGATTGGTACATGTATTTAGTCATTCATATACAATGTAGTTTACTCACACTTCATTATTGTTTACTCAGAATGATCTCTTTTTAAAATGATTATTTGCTTTATTGCATTCTTATCTTTGTAATTGATAGAAACTTCTGAATGATAACAAATCCATAAAAAATGATTTAAAAAAAAATTCATTATTTCACAATGTGAGACCAACTGTATACATACATTAGTACATAAAATGACTTTGAATACTTTTCATCAAAGATAGTTCTTAAAGAAAATTGGTTAAAATTTTAGAAAAATCCCTTTGTCTACTTTTGAAAAGGTTCTGTGTGAATTAAAAATCCTTCATTTTTTAATACTGCATCCTGACACTATAATTTATATTGATGTTTATCGCAAAGAAATAGCAAGAAATGGTAGGCTACATGAGTCAATAAAAAATAAATTAATGGAATGGATATTTCAAACAATTTTTTCATATAATAATGTACATACAAATTAACGTACTATAAGACAAACCAACTGTACCCCCCCCCCCTCCAACACACAACTTTAAAAAGATAAGTAAGAGATTAAAAAAAACCTTAAATAATTTGCTTGTATCACTGTCTACAAGTTGTTCGTATATATTAAACCTTGATATTTTTGTATATACGATTTATATATAACTTCATAGTTTACACATGCTCTGAAGAGCAGAGGAAATTCTGGTTGATAAAATCGATCTACTTCCCCACTTTAGATGTAAATTTGCCGTGATTTTTGTCAAGTTGATCGAATTTACGAATTTAAAAAAAGAAACTTTAAAATAGTAAAATCTTTTAGGGAGTGCCTTTAAATTCTTCAACGATATATACATTTACACCAATGAAATGATTACGGTACCGTAACGATGTTTGACTCACAGTGCAAACATAATTCTAGAGACGTGGTTCTGAAGTATAAAGACATATACTTATATTTTTTTATTTTTAAATAATATTTAAACATGCAACTAGCAGTTATATGGTTACTTGGAAGTGTGAAAACAAAATTTATTTATTTGTCCCTTCATGCGTAAAGTCCAGCGAAGGTCTAGGAGATAATTGATTATGCAAGGTGAAGCAAGACAAAGTGCCCTAATTAAGGGATAATTCAGTGCTCTGCCTTAAAATTGAAAAACAGTAGATTTCTTTCATTAAAGTTTCAGTTAGAGAAAATTTATGTTCTGATTTTCACAGTGTCGCAAGATTTTTACTGTGTCGCACGCATAAAATTTGAATCGTTACTGTGTCGGAGGAAATTTTACTGTGTCGGGCCCGACACAGTAAAACAGCTCATGGAGAACCTTGATGACTATCTTAAAAAATCAGCATTTTATGAATACTTCAGAAACCGGTATTTACTTATTTGTGTACTTTTTATATAAGCTGAAGATGTCGTGCTGCTTTATAATTACAATGGAAAGAGGTAATTAAATCATTAGACTACTTCGATCGGTTCATCAATTTTGATAAATGTTTACTTTGGTCTTATGCCTCATATGTACATCTATCGATTCAGCAAGATTTATACATGAGTATCAATTTGCAATAAAGATTAAAAAATTAAGGCATAGAAAAAAATTATAAACGGTCGAGATAGCCTAGTGGTAGGGCTTACGCGTCAAACCTAAAACGTTAATTTAGGTATTAACTGCTTCTTCGCCGATGCATTAGGGGGAAAGTCACAGTTTTTTTTCAGATGAGACCTTAAAAAAACGAGGTCTATTGTAGGCGTACCGATAAAGAACCCTCATTGCTCAATGGTTTTGAGTACCAAATAAAGGTCTAAATCTGATGCCCTTCACCGATATATGGTTACGTCTCATACAAGTAAAAAATTCTCACAAGGGACGTAAAACAACACAAATATATTAGTCAATCAAAAATGATATCACGTGTTCTTTAACATTTGACTTAAGGTTTTCCATCGTCAACATTCTTGACTTATGTAGTAAAATTCCATTATCATCTGGTATTTATATCTTCCAACTTATTCGATACTCAAAAGCATGCTCTGAGTACGATCAATTTTTAAACCGAGGCTGTTACTGACAAATGGTTTGAAGTTACAGGGATTTCAACAACCTCCTTTTAGGTCAGCATTTTATAATTCTCTGGTCGTTATAAGTATTTTACTATCAAATACAATTTAACATTTGGTCGTATGTTGACTATTTCATACCAACTGTTAGGCTTTTGATTTATATTAAATTTGACAACGTATTACTCCGTCTACCTGAACAATAAATGGTGCTAACGACGGTTTAACCCTTCGACAGGGATGCTACTTCATCCTAACACCTGATCTTACCTTTAGATCTGGTGTTCCAGGGGTCCGTCTTTTTTTATCTTAATACGATTTATAATTTTAAGAGACCTGAATCTACACTACCTTAGGATACTTCTATATAAGTACGACAAAACAAAGTTTTGTGGTTAATGAGTAGGTTAATAAACTTAAGATTTTTCCTATGTGTTCCTATGTTAAACTTTGATCGCCCTGTAGTCTAACCGTACTCCGGAGGGGGAGGGGGGATCATGATTTTCACAAACTTGAATTTAAACAACCTGAAAATGTTTCATTTTAAATATTTTTTAATCATGGGTTTGTTGTTCTTGAGAAGAAAATTATTGATAATTTTTCCTATGTATTTCAATGTATAACTTTGATCGCACAATTTGCCCCCATTCTACCCACAGAGGGATCATGAATTGAACAAATTTGAATGTACACTATCTGAGGATGCTTCCATATAAGTATGACTAATCAGGGTTTTGCTATTCTTTGGATGAAAACATTAAAAGAGTTCTCTCATATATATTTCAATGTTAAACATACATTGTACCCCCGCCCTAGCCGAAATTGTAATGATTAACACAGACTTGGATCTACATTTTGTAATGAAGCTTTCATATAAGTTTAATTTTTTATGGCCCAGCAGTTCTCGAGAAGATTTTTAAAAGATGCTAATGTTTTATTATCTCCCCTTGCAAAACGATTTAAAGAAATTGATTTCCCTTTACCTAGGGATGCAGTATGATAAGTTTGGTTGACATTGGTCCAGTGGTTCTAGAGTAGCTGAAAATGTGAAAACTTTACAACGACAAGGACGATAACAACGACTATAACAAGTATATACAAGAGAGATTACATTTCGAATTTCCAATAGTAAAATTGGGGGGGGGGGAACGTTTAAAGTTCTAAGTTACAAAAACATACGATGTGGCACTAAACCTTTCTCTCTTTACTGATCTATTTTATTTAAACATCATAATGTAATGTATGTTTTTTTTGTTTAATAAAGTGTATTCAGTGATATTTATTATTCCTATATCCCATAAAATTTTGACAAGACAGAAAAAGATTTCAGAATTTTTTTTCTGTCATCATGACCAGACTGTAAATTACATGTAGATATGATAGTTGTTAGCTAATGGTAAATAAGTATCTATTTCATAATTAATGACCTTTTAAAACGTATAATATTTAAGCCAGTAATTGCACAACTCATATTGAGTCCTTCTGATTGTTCACGGTCTTCGTTATTGTTTATTCAGTCTGATCTCTTTCTTTGGTAAATTTAAACTTGAATTATCCATTAAAAATATGTTTTATTTCGATTTTTTTCTAATTTATATTTATTATTGAAATGAAAGGAAATCTATGAAGAACATAAAATATTAAAACAATGTGTAGAGACAATTGTTTTAACATGCGGAACCAGCTGTGTGAAAATGGCCGCATAAGAATATTGAATTATTAATCACTCGGTAAAAAAAAAATGAATTTTACAAAAAGAGAATTTTTTCAAACAAGCTGTTTAGACTTTAACTCAGATTTTCTCTTTACGTATTGCTTCTTTATGTCTTTTTTTAAATAGACTTTGGCTAAAATTAGCCATGGGGGATTCCAAAATCTCATTTTGCCTCATTGTAGACTTCTCCTTTTTTATATCTATAATAAAGTTTTCATATTTTCAACTGACTTCAAATAAAGAAATAACCCATTAGTATGAAATACAGAAGTCAGTTTTATTGAAGATATTATTAAACTCTGCAATTGGCATTTTGGTATATTTCTACATATAGTAGGAAATCCAATGAAAGAATTCTTCTTTCTACTAAGAAGAATATAATATGAGCAATATATTTTAGAAAATAATGTATACAAGTCTTTTATTTAATAACATAATTTTATATCTTTATATCATTTTACAATCTGGTATACCAAGTCATACTAAGTTTGAATCTAGGTACAAAGTTACCCATTTGTGACATTTATTAATATTCTAAGGTATTATGGAGTCCTTGCTATACTTTATCAGTAAATTCAATGAATACATAGTGGCATCATATCTCTTACTAATTCCAAAAATGTACTCCTTCTCTATCAATCATCTACTTTTGGTTAGGGGGTATTATGTACCATAAAGGTGCCCTTTTATAAATTTATTTTTTTTTCTCCTTTCAATCATAATTATGATTTAATTAAGAATTTTGAAAGTTCTCGAATAGAAGGTATCTTTAATATTATATTATTCCATAAGGATTGTCTTAAATTAATTTAAATTTTACTAAATATTCATAAAACCTGTCATTTTGCCTGTAATTTCTCGACATTAACAAGTCTGATACTTAACTAATACATTCATATTACAGAAATATGGCTACGTTTTGAAATTTGAGATGTATAAATGCAAAGGGTATATCGTCTCAGTGACCTAAAACAAAACATTTAAAGCCCCATGTGTTATTCATTTTATGTTTCACAAAGAAATGCACCGCAAAGCAAATGAATAAACTTAGGTATCAGGAATTAGACTGGACGTATTAGGGCCGGTACACACGGTAAGGCTTGCCTTATAAGTCATGGAAC